TTTTGGAAGTTCCTGAGTAAGGTGTAACTATTGGTCTCTTCATATGCGAAAGAAAGAAGAGTGATAAAAACTGAAGATGCTTGGAATCAACTAGACCAATAGAGCAGGTGAAACATCGGTCACACCATTCTGAGACCCAAAAGAACTAGTTGGTGCCCGACTCTACTACCAACTGCTCTGAAAGGGATCACAATAGTCCTGTGGGAGACCTTTTCTTTCTTTCTTTTTTTTAATTGGGCTTACTGGTCAGAAAGAGACTGGAGGAACCCAAGACTATGGCCCTTGACTGTCCTTCAAATCTGGAATGGAACTCACCCTTGTGGCCCAAATTTCAACCAAGCAGTAGATAGGTATTTATGAGGGGACAAAAGCACTAGATAAGGCATGTTCACCATGGAATGGTCAATCATTCAAGATCAAAAGGGCAACATTTACCTAAGGATAAAGTTGAGAAGGATGGGAAGGAAGTTGGAATGAAATAGGAACCACAGGGAGGAAGCAGGATAACTATTGTTACAGGAGGAGATTGAAATTATTGAGATGAAACAAAGTGCATGATTTGTTTAATGTAAAACTGATGATATTTTCTGTAAACCTTCACTCAATCCACAATAAAAAGTTGTAAAAAAATTAAAATGATTAAGAACCGATGGTACTGAAAGAAGAAGTCTAAGCTGCAATGAAGGCATTGTCAAGAAACAAGCTTCCAGATATTGAAATCTTTCAACAAACTGATGAAGCACTTGAGGCTACCACTTATCTATGCCAAGAATTTTGGAAGACAGCTTACCTGTTCAACAGATTGGAAGAGATCCGTATTTGTGCTCATTCCAAAGATAGGTGACCCAAGGTTAATGGGTGCCGAAAGAACATGTTCAAATTCAGCCTGTGTCTTCATGGCTGCATTTCCACTCACAAGTAGACCCAGGTGGCCACCAGTGAGCATATGGTTCACCAATTCTCTTTAACATTTAGTCCTAGAAGAGGATTTTCTCTGATGGACACAGACATTTTTAGCTTTGATATCTCTAAGACAAACAGCTTGCTTGAAACTCTAAAAGCCAAACAGTCCACTTTTTTCCTGCAGGTCTTTTAATCACCAATCTCCTGTTCTTTTAGTAGTTCTGGGATGGTCTACATGTCTTTTCAAATGCAAATGTACTAACTCTGAAGGTTCTGGGTTGGGCTCAGGATTCCACCTAAGGCTCCATACTCTAGAAAGCTTAAAACAAAAAGCCTATTTGTTTCTGAGCAAATTCTAACTCACCTTTTAGCAAATACAATCTCTTACAAGTTCTCTGTAATCATAATTACCAACATTCATTTCTATCACGCATGTATGTCTATTTTACAATAGGCAGAAGAAACCACTATCTATAAGGCAGACACATAAACCTTTTATAACATTCAAATTCAATCTTTTCTTCTCCACCCTTAGACTAATCCCATATGGCCTTAAGCCTTTAGCAGGGTAGCTCCAGTAAACCCTGACTCCCTCTTGTTGGTAAGTGCCTTGGAGTTGGTTCCAACTCTTAGCAACCCTGTATAAGGTTTCCTAGGAGCAGATGGTGAGCTTGAACCACCTACCTTGCAGTTCAATCCTACATTGCAGTCCAGGGTATTAACCCTTAGTACCACAACAGAACTCTGACCTCCTTATTAGCCATCTTATTTAGCCAGAGTGTCGTCTGCTTGTTGTTGCTAAGTGCTGTTGAGTCAGGTTCCAACCCATAGCAACCCTGTATAGGGTTTCCAAGGAGCAGCTGGTGAAGTTGAACCTCAGACCTCCCAGTTCAAGTGGACTTTGAAGTCCAGAGCATTAACCAACAGTGCCTGCTTTTATCCCCTCAGGCAGGAGGCAAAAAAAATTTTTTTTTCAGTGTTGTTAAGTGCCATCAAGTCAGTTCCAACCCATAGCAACCCTGTGTAGCATTTCCGAGGAGTGGCTGGTGGGTTTGAACTGCCTACCTTGCAGTTCAAACTGACCTTGCAGTCCAGTGCATTATCCTGCAGTGCTACACCAGGTAACAAAATATAAAACCTCATGCTTTCTTCAGTCTGGAGCCATTGTAATGAATCCGGCTCCTGGTGCCAACTGCTTAAACCAAGTAGGGGCCATGTCTGACTTTCTCTTACTCCACAAGGGGAAAAAACAACCAAATTCAAAATCAGTCCAAGGTCAATTCCTATGAAGTTGAGGTCAGACATGCCTCCACCCTATATTAGTGCCTTTAAAGTTAGTAAGACTTGTGTATCAATTTAGAAAACATCCTTGTGATTTTGTTTCTCTAGAACTCCACTCTCAGTACCACATGTCTTAGGCTGAGTTTTTAGAAAAACATATATATGTATATATATTGTTAAGTGCCATTGAGTCAGTTCTGACTCATAGTGACCTTGTATAGGGTTTCTGGGGTGCATCTGGTAAGTTTGAACCACTACCTTGTGGTTTAAACTGACTTTCTAGTTCAGTGCTTATCCTAGAGTGCCACATCAGGATACCATGTATATATAGAGAGGCAGAACTTTATCATCAAGGAAATGGCTTACAATTGCTGAGTCCCAGGTTCCCAGTGGGGGAGAGAGAGAGCCTTTCCCACATGTCCATTATCTTGGGCACAGGCTACACCCCCAAGGAAACATCCTTTCAATTCACTGGCTGCTCATAGTCAATCATCATAGAGTTAACTATGCTTCTATTAGGTTTCATCATTATGGAAATCAGCACATCTCAACTGCTAAACCACTAGAAATCCTAGCCTGAACCATTACAACATCCAATGAGTTGGATTGACACAGTGGCAGTAACAATTGTGCTCAAATATAACATTGAGAAAGATGAGTCTTTCTACTCCCGTAAAGATTTACACCCTCGGAAACCCTATACAGGGTCGCTATGGGTCGGAACTGACTCAATGGCACATAACAACAACAACAATAACAATTGAGAGGATGGTTCAGGGCTGGGCAGTGTTGTTTATTTGTGCACAGGGTTGTTGTGGGTCAGAACCAACTCAACGGCACCTAACAACAAAAACAGGAGTAGTTGGTGGCACTTTAGGATAAGTACTGGACTAGTTACTGAAGGTTATAGGTTCAAACCCTCTAACTATTCCTTGAAATCCTAGTGTGGTGTTATAGGACAAGCACTCGACTGCAAGGTCAGTTTGAATGACACGGTTGGCAGTTCAAACCTACTAGCATCTCCTCGTCCACCCTATACAGGGTCGCTATGAGTTAGAATAGGCTTGATGGCTGTAGATTAGTTAGTTGGTTAAAGAGTAGTTTGGACAATAAAGACTCGACAGTACTTAATGACAGCAACAATCATCTTATATAATAAATCCAAGGTAGGGAGGTTCCCAAGGAGTCCCTGGGTGGTTTAAATTGATTGCTAACCAAAGGTTGGAGAAGACAGGCCTGGTGATTCTATTTCCCAAAAAAATCAGCCATTACAAACTTTATGGAGCACACACACGTGAGTCAAAGCTGATTCAACTACTGGTCTTAGGGAGTTCCCTGTTGGTTTAGTTAGTAACTCCACACCAACTACCTTTCAGGGCTATTCTGCCAGATTGAAATGATTAACCTGGCAAGGGAATGGAATTATAATGTTGATGTGAAATTAATCAAGTTTGAGCCTTGATTAATTAAAGGGGCCCAATTTCTGCTAATTGTTAAGTGTTGTCAGTTCTGACTCATAGCACCTGAGCAGAAAGCCTCATTTTTTTTTTTTTTTCTTTTCTCCTGCAGAGAGCCTGTGGACTTGAACCACGGACCTTGTGTTTCACAGTCCAGTGCTTATCCTATGGATCTACTGAACAAAATACCAGTTCTGTAAAAATGTAAGCGCAATAGGAATCACTTCGGAATACTCAACCAAGAGAGTCTCTACAGGTGCCCTGGTAAGACTTCCAAGAGGAAGTCCAGACATAAGTTCCTCTCTCTGCGGCAGGTCTCAACTAAACGATCTCAAAAACAAAACAAAACATAAACCTCAACGTGTCCACCGCTAAACTCAAGATTTCATCAGAGTGATCTGTTCCAGGGTTCTCTTTCTTTACAAATTGCACCAACATTCTAGTCGCCCAAGCCTGAAAAATAGCAGTCATTGTACTGTTTCTTCACCCCCCCCCAATATTTATGGCATTTTGATTCGCCTCTAAAATGACTCTTGAATCTACCCTCTCTTCGCCTCCACTGCCATCATCTTAGTCCTAGTCACTGTGGTCAGCTTTCCCTGGTCTCCTGCACCCATTCGGACCTCCTTCTGACCAATTCCTTTCAAAGGAGTTTAAGTGGCCTTTATCAAATAAAAGTCTGACCTTATTTAAAAGCTGCTTCCCACTGCTGCTAGATTAAAGACCAAAATAATGCCTCTACCGATCCCACTCCCACGTTCCAATTACACAACTTAACGTGAGCTTGAATGTGCTGAGGTCCATCCTACCCCGAGATTCGCTCCTTTCAGACCCTAGCGGACCCGTCACTTACAGTGTGGTCGGGTTCCCTTGCTACCGGCGCCTACAGAACTCTGTCCCTTCCCTTTGGGGGCACTTTTTCTCAGTCTGTAGACCGTAAACTCCTTGAAGATATAGGATCTCTTACAACAAAATTCCAGGCACACGTAAGTGCTCAATGAATAGATGTTGAATGGCTAGATGAATACAAAACTTTGACAACTGGCCGTTAATGAATGAGTACCCAGATTCACAGAGTACAGACACGACGGCCTTAAGTCCAGAGCATCTCCTAGCCACCTGGACCACAAACCTCCGTTTCTCCTCTCAGTAGCCCGTCCCTTGGGCTCCGCCTTTCCAACAGGAGACAGAGGGGGAGGAGCACTGAGGGCGCATGACGCGACAGCAGCTAGTTGGTGATTGGGCTCCCAGGCGCACGGCTAGAAAGGGGGCGTGTCCGGACGCGCTGATTGGTTCTCCGGCGGCTGCTAGGCGGGCGCTGGCGGTGCGGGGGCGGGCGCTGGCGGGGAGACAACCGGGTAGGGCTGGGAGGGAGGCGTCGGTGGGATGGGTCATCGCTGTCCGCTTCGTTGAGAGTCACTCGCGTAGGCTGCCCGCGGCGGGCCAGCAGTGGCCACGGCGGCATGAAGGGCGCTCTGGGGAGCCCCGTGGCCGCCGCTGACGCCACGATGCAGGAAAGTTTCGGCTGCGTCGTGGCCAACCGCTTCCACCAGCTGCTGGACGACGAGTCGGACCCGTTCGACATCCTGCGCGAGGCCGAGTGCCGGCGCCAGCAGCAGCTGCAGCGCAAGAGACGCGACGAGGCGGCGGTGGCCGCCGGGGTCAGCACCCGAGGCGGCAGGAGCCCTGCCGGGGCCTCGGGCCACAAAACCGGCTCGGGCAGTGGCCGGAGGGAGTCCCAGAAGGAGCGCAAGAGCATCCCGGCCCCTGGCGCGCAGCAGCCCGACAGCCCCGGCGGCGGCCCCCAGCCGCCCGGTACGCGCGTCCCGCCGGCACCAGGGCGCTCACTGGGAGGGTGCGGCGGGAGGGAGAGCGAGGAGAATGGGGTCAACCTCTTCCCTGGGAGACTAGGGTTTCGGGAACCACGTTCCGGAAAGGGGTGGGCTCTGAGGAGACTTGGGTTGCGGCAGTAGAAGGCAGCAAAGAAGACTACAGTGTGTGACTGGGGGCTCCCATCCCTTCTGGCGTCCCCTCTGGGGAGGCTGGAGCTAGTGGGCCACGAGACCCTGGAATCTGAACCCTTAGGTCAAGTTGCATAAAGTTGAGGGGTAATGCTGGAGAGTTGTGTGTGGGCTGCTGTTCCGGAGGTCTGAAATTAAGAGTCAGCAAGGATGCCAGCCTCTGCAAGATTGAGTTCTGGAGGCTAAACGAGAAACGAGCTGCGAAGGACGGAGGGGAGAGAGCAACTAGCCCACTGTAGGTGGTGGTGAGAGGCTGCGATGTGTCTAGAATGGAGGGAGCTGGGGTGAGGGGCTGCTGGGCCTCTGTGATGAGGGAAAAAGGCCTGCTGACCGCGTGGGGTTGGGCTGTGACGTCAGGGCCGTGAGTGCGTGCTGGTTGAGGTGTCCGCGGGATCCTCAACTCTTTGGGAGCTTTAACTCGTCTCAATATTCACGCTTCCAGTAGTCGGCAGGCATCGATTTTCAATGCATTTCTTAGTATTGTTGATGGGATGTGTAACTTGTAATTAGCTCAAGACTGCTCTTAGAATATTCTTTTCAACCTCAACAATATTCAAGGTTCTCTACTCTTAGTTTAACAAAAAGGGCCAGTGCAAATCTTGGTGCACTACTGTGTGTTGTAGTACTAGGGGGTTTTCTTTAGAGGCTGTTTCTTTCCCTTTAACTGACACTGGTGGCATAATCAGTGAGACTCCACTTGTGTTTTTACTCTTGTCCTGAAGTAAGGCTGTCCCAAGGCTCGCAGAAAATACTTTCAAGGTGTGTATTGCAATTTGACCTCTCCCGACATTGTTTGATTTATTGGCTTGTTCTTTGCTTGATAAAAATTGTACATCCTAACTAGCCTTGGTAGAGCACCTCCTGGCTTAAGTACTGGGGTTTTGGCTTGTCCCAATGATTTTCCTTTATCTGTTGGAAAGGCCAGGGCATAGACACCATTTGAGACTCAGAAAATCAAGTCATCACAATAAAGGTGTTGAAAATTGCCAGGAAATAGTATTTCTTGGCAATTTTTCTTGGCTAACCTCCTGTTAGGCCAGGAAGTTCTTGAGCTTATCTGAAACAGCAAGACTTAAGATATATTTTGCATATTGTATTATGTTCTCTTGTTTTTCTATTACATTTACTTAAAGATAAATATAGTAATAAAAACTTGGTGGTGGTGGTGGTTATGTGCGGTGGAGTTGGTTCGGACTCATAGCGACCCTGTACAGTGTTTCCGAGGCTGTAAACCTTTACGGGAGCAGAACGCCTCCTAACCATCAGAACGCTGGTAGTTTCGAACTGCTGACCTTGAGGTTCGCAGCCCATTTCGTAACCACTACGCTACCAGAGCTCTTTAATAAAAACTTAGGAGGGCTAATCTTTTTCACTCCCTTTGTCTAACAAATGAAAATACATTCTTTTCTTTAGAAAAGTATAAAACTGCGTTTAGTGATAGGGCGCTGTGGTTAATGCGCTGTACGTCGGTTTAAACCGCAAGGTCGGTGGTTCAAGCTCACCAGTCGCTCCTTGTAAACCCTGTACAGGGTTGCTATGGGTCAGACCGACTCAATGGCACTTAAACAACAACAACTAACATAATATCCTGGTGATGGTGGTGTTGAGTGCCATAGAGTTCTGACCCATAAACAGAGAACATAGTATAGGGTTTTCAAGGAGCAGCTGGTGAGGTTGAATAGCTGACCTTGCAGTTCAAACCGACTTTGCAGTCCAGCGCATTAACCCACAGTGTCACACTAGACTGCTGACTGCAAGGTTGGTGGTTCAAACCAATCAGCTGCTCCTTGGAAACCCTATTTGGGGTCCCTATAAATTGCAACTGACTCTATAGCACTTAACAACAATACTGATATATGTGGGTCTTGATATGGTGCTATAGGATTAGCACTGGACTGATAACCGCAAATTCGGCAGTTCAAACCCACCAGCCACTCTTGGAAACCCTACACAGAGTTCCTATGAAAACTGATTCAACAGCATACAGTGAGACTTTAAAAAAATGTTTAAGACATAGATTAATGTTATGAATTTACACATCCATGCTATGAAAAATTCCACACAATGTTTTGAAAAATTATGAATAATTCAGAAAATGTTTTAAGTGAAAATTCCCTATTTTCTCGCCTGTTAACAGTTTACCTCTATAATTACATACAGCTTTTTTTTTTTTAATTTAAAAGTTGCAAATGACTACTTTCACATGAGATTGTAATCTGTTATAATCTCTAGATTTTATTGTTAGAATGAAAATTTTGTAATTCTAGTTCTTTTTCTAGTGTTTTCTGGAGCAAACTGCTGCTCATTCTTATACATGTGGTTGTACTAAATTTTTCTTTAGTAAGTGTAATTGATATATTTTTTTCTATCTCAGAATTTTAATTTAGTTAGAATATTGTAAATGCTTAGTGTGGACAAGAAACAAAGTCTAAACATGTTCAGCAATGGTGAGCAACATATAATCCCCAAAGACTGTGGAAATAAGATTTTCCCATGGAAGCTTGGGTTTTTAGTGTCCTTGAATATTCATCTAGCAATATACACAGACCCTGTGTGAGCCTTGTTAACTACATCACCAGAGTCTGTGTGAGCTTGCTTTGTAAAGCCTTTCAGAACTATGGTCTTTGAGCCAAAGGTCAGTTTTTATTTGTAGGAATTTCACTGTAAATTTCATTGTATTTATCCCTTCGCAGAGACTTGGCCTTAGACCTGAAGTGGAACTGGTTATACCACCTGCTTATTGGGATGGGCCAGTGAAATGCAGTGTTAGCAGTATCTACTTGGAGCCGCTGATCCACCAAAAGAAAACAAGCCAGCTTCAGTCTCGGCTTTGAGCTCTTAATGCTAAATGTTGAGGGGGAAAGATGTGGACCCCTTTTTCTTTTGTTTTCTTTTTTGTATTTTGGAAGGAGAAAGAAATTTTTCAAGAAAGTGGTGAGATAATTATCCTAATAAGCAGCCAATCTTGTTAAACAGTTTTCAGTTTATATCAAAGTCTGTTCCAAAATTTGAGTATTAGTTGAAAACTGTTAAAGTATGCAATAAATACTACATTTTAAGTTGTAAAAAGTGAATGACAAAATGAGGCCATTAACTTGGACCAAAAAGAAGATAGGATAAGCTAAGTTATTCTGTAGTTGTTTTTAAGTAAATCTTTATGATTGTTTTAAAACTACAGGTTGTAAGAAGGAAATTTGAAGTTGTATTACAATAACTTTCTATGTTGGGTGGAAAAGTACTGAAAATTATTGTTACAGTTAATATTTGTTGCTAATAGTTATATATGATGATCTAGTATTATTTTCAACGTGTTAAGTAACTTTTTCTTTCATAATGATATAACTTTCAAACTCGCTTTTTCTACCATATATTCCAAGCACCTCTTTTGTTTTGATCTCTGTTAGTAAAATATGTGTCAGCAGATCTGGCATCGCAGACTCTCTTAGGCAAGAGTGCCAATCTCTGTCTTGATGTTTCTGCAGTAAAAACAAATGGTGCATTTATGAGAGCAGCTTTCCCACATGCTAAATATGTTATAGACTCAGGTTGTGACTGCACTGTAGAATGCAAGTCAGAATTAGTACTGGATTCTGAGACACTAAAAAACCTAGAAGGTTGAATATAACTTATTTCAAGATACTAATTAAAATTTTGTTAATAATGCACATCTGAAAAATTATTTGATACTAATAATTTACATAATCTTATTTTTGTGTTGTCTCATATATGATTTCTACATAAAAGTGAGTTCAGTAAGCTATTTGAATGATGTTACGTTTACCTGGGCTCAGTTTATAAAATTTTAAGTATAAAATATTAAGTAGGAAAATAGAAAAATATGTATAAATTTTATTTCTTAAAGGCCATATGTGCATCTGTCTTAAGTGGAAGAGGAATCCAGTAGTTTACAAATACATCCAGTTATTTGAATACATTTAGTATTTTGAGAGAGTCCCGGTGTGACACTGTAGGGTAATGTGCTGGATTGTAAAGTCGGATTGAACCTCAAAGGTCGGCGGTTCAAGCTCACCAGCCACTCCTTGGAAACCCTATACAGGGTTGCTATGGGTCTGAACTGACTCGATGGCACTTAACAACAACAACAAAATTTTTATAACCATGTAATCAATGGGAAGAGTAATTTATACAAATCAAACAGCAAAACCCTAAACCCTGAAGCCACTAAAAAATGGCATGTGATGTTTGAGATGGAAAACTTTTGTTTGAACTGTATGTTCAGAAAAAGATAAAAGGATAATTTTAGAGGCTATTGTAAAAAATGACAAGTCACAGTGTGTCTAACAAATCTTAGATGACACAACATTTGCTTACATGCTTTAAAGCATGAAAACTAGAGGTGGGTTAAAGTACGGTGAGAAGAGAGAGGAAAAGGCTAGTGTTTCCAAACTCTGCTGTGCCTGCTGAAGGCCAGCCCCTCTTGACCTCTTCAGTACTTGCAATGAGTAAAGAAAGCACTCTGTAGCTAAACAAACGTCAGCTGTTTGAACCCATCAGCCACTCTATGGGAGAAAGATGTGGCTATCTGCTTACATAAAAAGGCAATTCTGTTCTTTCATGTATCAGTTTTGACTGACATTTGAGAATATGGTTGCGAACCTGTAAATTTCATCAAACATCAGAAATTGCTTTCAAAAGAAAAAGATGTGACAAAATCTTGGTTTAAAATAAAACAAAGGAAAGAAACCTTTGTTGTTGTTGTTAGGTGCCATAGAGTTGGTACCAATCCATAGCAACCTTATGCACATCAGAACAAAACACTGCCTGATCCTGGGCGGACTTCACTATTTGTTGCTTTGAGGCCACTTGAGTACACTGATGCTGCTACTTGGCCAATCCATCTCATTAGGGATCTTCCTCTTTTTCACTGACCTTCCACCTTTGTTGTTATTAAATACCATGGAGTCAGTTCTGACTCATAGTGACCCTGCACAGAGTTTCTGAGGCTGTAAATCTTTACAGGAGCAGAACGCCTCATCTTTCTGTGAAACTGCTGGTAGTTTCAAACTGCTGACCTTGAGGTTAGCAGCCTGATTTGTATCCACTATACTACCAGAGCTCCTTACCAAACATGGTATCCTTCTCCAGCAACTGATACTCCTGACAATATGTCTGAAATATGAGAGACGAAGTCTGGCCATCCTGTCCTCCAAGGAGCATTCTGGCTGCACTTCTTCCAACACAGATCTGTTGGTTCTTTTGGCAGCCCATGGCACTTTCAATATTCTCCTCCAGCACCATAACTCAAATGCATCAATTCTTCTACGGTCTTCCTTATTTACTGTGCAGCTTTCACATGCAGACTCTTTAAATTAAAATTACTACTGGTTTGTATGAAATTGGAGTTGTAAAAGTACAGTCTGAAATGATTCTTTAATTTTCTGATTGTGGCTTTGCTGTAAAAATGTTGGTAAAGCTGCTTTTGCAAAATGTAGTTAATTAAGCAAAATACAGCCACAGTCGTCAGATGCCTGCAATTATAGATTAGTTTGTACATTTTATTTATCATACTTTGTAGGATGAAAAGGAAAGCATATGCTCTGATGGTAACTGTTCAAAGTTTTCTGACTCTGTGAGGAGCTTTGGTGGTGCAATGAGTAAAGCACCCAGAAGCTGACCAAAGGTCAGGTGTTTGAACTCTGTGGGAGAAAGATGTGGCCATCTGCTTACATACTGGTTTACAGCCTCTGTATGATGCAGTTCAACTCTGTTATAAAAGGTCACTATGAGTCTGAATCAACTCCACAGTCATGGGCTTGAGTGTGGTCAGATTATTGGCTGCTGCTTTTTTTTTCCCCCTCCACTGTACTTTTCCAGGTTTCGTGAGGTTTTCTTTGACATTGTTTTCTAGAAAAGTGGAATATTAAAGTATCTGTAAAGATTAACAATGTGCTGTCCTGCAGACCTGTGTTCCAGCTCTCTCCTCTGATTTCCTGGTGGCAGGCCAGAAGCGAACTCTGAGGAGAGGGGAGCAGCAAGGGTGGAATGATCACCGGGGGACAGAGGTGGCACTGGATCGAGCAGAGCGGAGATCCTACAGGGAATACCGACCCTATGAAACGGAGAAGCAGACAGAGTTTACAGCAGAGAAGTTTACAGATGAAAAGTATGTACTGCAGGTCTTCGGAGGGAGGGCGGCCAATGTGTGCGGGCACTACAGGCCTTGAGAGAACCACTAAGCCCTTGCGCTGTTCATCGTGGCAGTCCTAGGAATATTTTGTCCATTTAAGTGGCATATCATATTTTTCCAATGTAAGTGACATGCCATACTTCTTAGGTGACATGTAAAAGACCTTTCATTTATCTCATGGCATCTTTGTTCAGAAAATAATTGTACAGTGGACAATAAATTGTATATTGGTTGCTGTGAAACTTACATAATTATACAAGAATGTGTCAAACTGCTTAAATTTTTCATTTAAAGTTCTAATTTTGGACTACGGATAGAATTATGTTTTTTACTTACCATTACTAATTTAGATAAGTAACAGATTTAAACTGAAATCCCTCCTTTCCCCATGGTCAGATCATGATGAAATTTGAGAAAAACTACTATAATGTTTACCACTTTTTTGCCTTGGGTACCTTCTCTAGAAAGTGCTGACCTAGAAGGTAGTCTTGGGCTGGTGCAGTTTTACACCTCTCCTGAGTGATGTCACAGTGTGCAGTCTAGCTTTGCCCCACCTGTACACAGCTAGCAGTTATTTGTCTTATGCTTGGTGCTAATAAGATGGAGGATTGCCACCTGATGTTTCTGTTGAATTATTAACTTACATAACCCAGAGTTTAGATGAAACAGAAACTAATGAATCACATTTAACAGTAAGTAAGGGGAAAAGAGCCATGGTAGTATAGTGATTAAGTGCTCTGCTAACTGAAAGGCTGGGGTTCTGAACCTTCCAGTTGCTCTATTAGACAAAGATGCCCCAGTTTGCTTCCTTAAAGCCTTGGAAACTCTACAGAGCAGTTCTACTCTGTCCTGTGGGGTTGCTGTGAGTCAGAATGAACTGTGTGGCAATGGGAATGCATTCAAGTGAAAAGGCTTTAGGAAGGCCAGAAGAGTGTACAGTTGAATGTTAAGAAAGCCATTGTTCACCACGTCTTCCAATCCCTGACCATTTAGTGTCCTTGCTACAAGTTTTAGTCCAGAATAGGCTTTGTAAACCTATACTCCATTAAAGAAAATAAATCTTATCAGATAACAGCTCAGTCTGAGAGAACCAAGCAGGTAGCAATTTCTGTAGATCTAGTCACCTAGAAGCTATATATGTGCAACTTCGAGGGGAGAGTTATAGAAATGCTTAATTTTACCCTTTTGGTGACTGCTTGAAATTTGTTGCACAGTGCTCAGTCTACATACTTACTAAGCCTCCAAGATCAAAGATTATTTTGGGAAGCATTTGGTTTTTTTTTTCTCATTTCTTACTTCAGAGATTTATTTTGTAGAAGTAAGCAAAGAGTAGATCAAATGTACAAACCCAGTCCTTGTGTGGTGCTCTAGGATAAGCACTGGACTGCTAACCACAGGTTGGTGGTTCAAATTCACCAGCTGCTTCTCAGAAACCCTATACAGGGTCCTGTAGGATAAAAATGCCGTGATGAGTCAGACCAACTTGATGGCACTTTACAACAACAACAACATGTATGTTATGTATAAAACACACGCATGCACTTATGTATACACAAACACACTTTTTTCCTGTATCATTTAGGAGTAGGGTGCAGAAATGTCTGTTTATCCTTAAATACTTAAGTGTATTTAATAAAAAAAATAGAATACTTTTCATAGTATGATTATCAAAATCATTAACATTACTGTAATAGTATAATTCTCTAAATTATATAATCTACACACTTTTCAAATTTAACCAGTTTTCACAATAAATCCTTTTAGAAAAGAAAACCAGTCTTCTAGTTCAGGATTCAGTCTAGCTATTATATTGTCTTTGTTGTTGTTGAGTTGCCATCAAGTTGTTTCTGACTCATAGCGACCTATATGGGGTTTCTGAGGAGCAGCTGGTGGGTTTGAACTGCTGACTTTGTGGTCAGCAGTCCAGTGCTTATCCCACAGTGCCACACCAGGACTCTAAGAAGCCCCTTAATCTTTCTTTATCTTTAGTGACTTTGATGTTTGAAGAGTAGAGCCAGTTATTCCAGAAACCATCCCTAATTTGAGTTTGTCGTGATGTTTCCTGTGTTTAGAACTAGGTAGTACATTATGGGCTTGGTGTACTCATGACATCACAGTAGGAATATGTAGGAACCTTTATTTACAAGGAAATTTATTTTAATTTTAATAAGATATGTTATCAGAAACCATTTTTCTTAAAAATCATCTTCTGGGTGTAAAGGTTCATATTGTCTTTAATAAAAACGATGTGTTTTAGACAGTTTGGAAAATGCAGAAAATAATTTCAGCTCACCATCTGAGGTGATTACTCTTAGCACTTGGGCATATCTCCTTATGTACTTAAGACGTCATGGTCACAATATAATCTTGCTTTTCCACTTGAAATGCCATCAGCAATTTCTGTGTTAGTAACAATGTTTGGTAAGCATTTTTAATGGCTCTCTTAGATCTGTTGTTTGAGTATATCAATGTTATCACTCCCTTGGTTTGAGAACTTTGTTCAGCTTCCAGGGTTTTTTTGTTAATGATAGTATCTAGTGAGCAGCCTTTTTGTATGTTTGCAGTTTGCCAGATGGAGTCCTGGAGGTGAAAATTCAGTTAGTACCATGTAGCCATGTTCCTCAATAGGGTGGCTGTGTGTCCAAATATGGTGGCTAGCATGTGCTGCAGTGCAAGTGGGAATGGGTTGTTGTAGTGTGGTTGCCAGCACTGGGTTGGAGGGGATATTGATATGTAGTAACAAATCATTCTCTTAGTATCCATTTGCTCTATCATTAACAATCTATTAGTACATTTCTACTAACAGTTTCTCTAAACTTGAATGTAATTGTTTGATTTGCTCATTTGAAAAGTGAAAAACTGGTATCACCTTACATTTCTATGTATACAGATGCTATATATGTGCTTATTGGACTCCTAGTGTGGCGCTGTGGGATCAACACTGGATTGCGAACCACAAGGTCAGCAGTTCCAACCCACCAGCTGCTCCTTGGAAACCTTACACAGGGGCGCTATGGGTCGGAATTGACTCGATGGCACTTGACAACAACAATAACAACATATATGCTTGTTGGATATAATTATAAAATCTGGATAATCTTGAAAGATTATCTAATTCAGCCTTTTCAATTTATGGATGAGGAAACAAAGATCCAGTTTCAGCAGTGACATGGATTTTTTTCCCACTAAGGCATAGTACATTTTTACTCTTTTATTCATTCATTCAGCAGGTACCAGAGAGCATGTAACTGTACTTGATGTAGATTGTGCTGCTCACAGGGTGTAGGGGGAGGTTAGTGTAAGGGTATAAGACATTTCTCACACAGCCTAGTTGGGAAGATGAGCATTTGAAGAAGGACACTTCTAGTCCTCATTTTTCTTTCACCTGTCGTAGAATCCAAATTGGAATGTGTGTTTTCTGTAATGTAGGTGATATAAACTTTAATTCCATATATTATTAGATAGGAGTTCCCTGGTTAGTGTAAACGGTGAAGTTCTCAGATGATAACTGAAAAGTTAGAGGTTTGAATTCATCCACAGTTCCTCAGAAGAAAGACATGATCTACTTGGGAAAAATTGGTCACTGAAAACTGTGACACACATGACTCACCATGAGTTGTGGTTGATTCATGGTGCTTTTGTTTGTTTGCTTTTTAAAAACTAGATTATTCAGAGCATGTTTCTCAATCAGGCTACTTAAATTGTGGTTAAATTATGAAGAGCTGTTACTTTTCATCATTGTTGTTAAGTACCGTCAAGTCGATTCCAACCCATAGCGACCCTGTATAGGGTTTCTAAGGAGCAGCTGGTGAGCTTGAATCACGGACCTTGCAGTTCAAATGACTTTGCAGTTTGACGCATTAGCCTACAGTTGATGCTAATTTGGGAGAGGGAGGAGTAAACATGTGGTCTCATTCCTGACAGTTTAATAGGTAGAATCTATTACTTAATTTCATCCAGATCTAATTGAGCACTGTCTACGAACCAGGAAGGAGTGTAAGCTTCTGAAAGGGATTGGCAACTGCAAATGAGACGAGGCAGAATTTAGGCCAAGAGGTATAAGTTATTGAGGCTGAAGGGGCAAGATCAGGACGGTAGGGTATTTGGGGTAGGTTTCTTAATGAAATTCTCAGAGAACAGCCCTGGCTATGCTTGAAAAATAAGCCTTATCTTTCTCCCATGGAGCGATTGGTAGATTCAAGCTTAGCAGCCCAACTCATAAGCACTATACTACTAGGGTTCCTTCTAATTGTTGTGATGTAAAAATTCCTTGGCACAACTCTCTTGACCTTTTTCCTACTAGTCTAGTGTATTTTTCAGTTTTCTTTAAACTTTTTCCTAATAAGTTCCCATGATTGTCCTGTGATATTTGAAAAAATTCTATTGAAATAACCCCTTTGGGACCCCAAAAGCAGTTACTATATGTAACCTTCAGAGCTGAACTCTGCTTTGAATGTAACTGGCCCAGCAGAGCCCCTCAGAACCTACTGGTTTGGTTGGACCTTGTTTTTGAAGGCACCCTACTGAAACTGGTGGTCAAGTCAGTTCTGACTCAGCGAACTTGTATAGGATTTCTGAGGCTATAAATCTTTGTGGGAGCAAGAAGCTTCATCTTTCCTCCCACAGAGTGAATGGTAGATTCAAACTGTTGACCTTGCAGTTAGCAGGCCAACGCATAAATACTATATTACCAGGGCTTCTTTTATTGAGACTAAAACAAATATATTATTGAGAGAACTTGTCTGCAGCCATCCAGCCATTCACTAATCACAGATATATGTTTAAACATTCCCCCCCCCCCCCAAATAAACCTATACATCTATGAACTGGAACCTTTGTAGCAATACTTTTTTACTTACTCTGGTATAACTTCTTGAGATTTCCCAACTCTCCAAGACCTATTTCCACTACTGTAACCTAGGACAGGAAGGGGGCCAGGAACACACTGTCCCTGGGACATTGTTGGAATTCAGAGG